CTTTTATGTGCACATATTGTTGATCTAAAAAAGACAGACATAAATTTAAGATCAATACTGTATTATGAAAGAAAGATCAGAACATTGTCCCCTTGAGGACTAGAGTCAGAAGCCTATTGGAAACAGGTGTCTACTGAGCTCAAATGTCATCAAATCAGAGGAACACTAGTAAACCAATACGGCTTCCATTTACCTGATCAGCTACCTGCCGACTCAACTGCCCCTTGAAACCCTTCATTCCTAAGAACTCTCCATCTTCTTCATCTGCAGCAGCTTCTTCTGCATCTACTTCCTCCTCTTCCTTCATGCGCTGGTGCATTTCTCCCATGTCTTCAAAACTAGAACCAGAGGTGTCATCCATGTTTTCCATATCAATTACAGCAGAGCCTCCACCCTGGATAATGCAAAAATGAAGCAGCAGCTCAAGACAGGTACACAATCATCCTCTCTTAACAAGAACTATGGATTATAACCGCCACCCCCAAAAAAAAATCCTTCAAAGAAAAAGGATCCAGTTAGAAAATGTCTACCAGGAAAAGGCACAGACGGTTACAAACATTAGAATAAGAATTACTCCCAGTTTGGAATTTCATATTAATTTATGCAGCTAATGAAGACTACTCCGAGCTGGAAAAACCCTATTTTTCACTATTTGCTACATTCTTCCATACATACTGATATAATTATGATACTGGATATAATTAGAGATTATTATTGGAATCTATGAAGAAAAGCTCTATGTATAGTTGCAAGAATAAGTATTCACAAAAGTGCTGTTTTCAACATCACTAAGTAACCTTGGAAACTATTTCAATATAAAAATGTAACAGCCTGAAGAATAGTCCAAGGTAAGAGACAACATTGTTACGCAGCTCAGGAAACCCGTGAACTAGACCACAAAGTGTCCTACAACAGGCCTGGCTTAGAAACTGCAGGTGGTGTGGAACATATCTGTGAGGTCACAGCCCACTGGGGATGGGATCCTAGCAATCATATCATTCCTATAACATCATTGTTGTAGTGTTTTATTAGGTCAGGTCTGGTCTACTTCTGAGCTAAACTCAAAGTACAGTGGAACCTCGGGTCGTGGCTGTAATCCGCTTCAGGACTACGGTCGTAACCCGATTTGGTTGTGACTGGAAGCATGACTGTCTGTGCATGCGTGGACAAAAATAAAATGGTGCTGAAGGGGAAATGGCTGTGGCAATTTTCAAGTTTGCTTGGTCACCACCCAAAGATCTGTTCACGACCAGAAGCAAAACAGAAGCAAAAACTCTGGTCATTACCCAATCTGGTCGTGAACAGAAGCATTCGCAGTCCAAGGTTCCACTGTAGTATTTTTAAGTCTCTATGATGGCCTGGGCAGTAGACATTGAAGAAATTCTGAGTTGTATCTATCTGAAAGAGAATACACACAAATTGTTATCTCGGTAGACTCACCAGGACCTAGAGAAAAACCTTTTTCAAATATTCCACATATTTGGGATCTTTTGCCTGATCTCCACTTTTGATTTTTTTCAAAGATTAAACAAACAAATGAAGGCCTTAGAACCTTCATTTTTTGTAGTCCTTAAAAATATCCCAAATGCCTCTTCCTCAGCTGGGCCCAGTGAGCTCCCTTCAGTAAATGAGGCACTACTGTCCTGCAATGCTTGCCTTTATATGTTTAGTCTGTTACTGTTTTTATGTTTGATTAAACTGAAATAACAAAAAGCACTCTGGTAATATGTCCGAGAATGAAATGGAAAATGACAGAAAAATAAAGCTAGGAAAAAAAAAACACAAAAGAGGAAGTTGATAGAATTATCATATCTGGACTACAAAAATCCAGACAATCACTAAAGGCCATCAAGGAGATACAGAACATGCTAACTTTTTGCTGCATCTAGCAGCTGCCCAGTTTCCTCAGCCCAAAACTATATGTTGAACATATATCTTTAGACAGTATTTACCTTAACCTGAAAGAAAACCTGCTCAATTGGTTTAGGGTAAATTGCTCCATTTGCCAAATCAACAGTAAAATGACAAATACTGTTGTACTCAGAAACATATTCATATCTTCCCTTTTAAAAGCATGCACTGTTTTTCTTTTGATAGTACAGTATAATGGCAGTATACTGTGAGTACAATTTAATCTAGTGGTTAAAGCACAAGACTAGAAACCAAGAGTTTCCAGTTTTAGTTTTTTCTTTAGGCATTAAAGCTGGCTGGGACTTTGGGTTAGTCACTCTCTCAACCCAACTCACCCATTAGGTTTGTTGTTGTAGGGAAACAGGAGGAGAAAAGAATACATGATAATGAGCAATTAAATACTGAGAAAGAAATAGTAACCAAAGATTTAAGGTAACAAAAAGAACAATAACCAAAATTTAATTTATATCAGTGCCATTTACTGTTTTACCACTTCGTACTATTTTACTCTTGTAAACTTTTCTTTGCTTTTGTCCATACCCCGTGTGTGCTGCATTTTATTGTGTAATACGATGTTTAATTTTTTTTGCTTTTGTGACCTCTTCCCACTTTTAAAAATTATGGAGGACCCCAAAAGAACTTTTGTCAGTATGGGTTATATGTATCAATATTTACTTATCAAAAATTAAAACTGATCCATTTATAGATGGCCATTTTAGAAGGCCAGACCCTGAAGATGAAACTCAAATAATTTGGCCACCTAATGAAGTAAGGACTCAACGGAGAAGAGACTAATGCTGGGAACGATAGAGGGCAAAAGAAGAAGGGGACGGCAGAGAATGAGGTGGCTAGATGGAGTCACTGAAGCAGTCGGTGTGAGCTTAAATGGACTCCGGGAGATGGTAGAGGACAGGAACGCCTGGAGGAACGTTGTCCATGGGGTTGCGATAGGTTGGACATGACTTCATGACTAACAACAATAATTTGTAGAACATTCGGGAATTGAATCATGTACAAATAACAATATTAAACTTTTTTTTTTCATGAAAAAACTTTTTAACAAACAAAAATAATAAAAGAGTGATCTTGTTTCTAATATTTGCAAATATCTTCAAGATCTGGCAAATAATTTTGATTTTGCAGATTTCTCAGAGGGTTTAAGAAACACTGCTATAATGCATTCAACATTATGGATACATTTTTGAACCTTGTGCAACTATGAGTATAATAAAGGCAACATAAATGGATGACAGAAGTGCTTCCAGAGCCTGGGTGGATTGGTAGAAATATTGACAACAAGGAGGTGGGGCTCTTCCCTGTGAAAACTGCCAAATGTTCATTAAGTCTGGCAAACAAAGAACAATGGAATGCGGATCAATGTCTTTTATTAGTTCAATAAGCAACCCAAGCACAAGCTTAAACTTAATGTTGTGAATATCTTTTCAGCTGCATTGTTGTCCAATTCTACCTAGAAACCAGGAACTAAGCTTACGCAAAGCGCTTGCAAAAAAAAAAAAAAAAGTTAAGCAGCAATTTGGTGGATCAGATATCTGAGTGTGGAATCCAACCTCTTTCTGGCACAAACCGCCTTTGGGACCTTTCCCCTGTATTTATTTTGCTGTGACACCGTTCATGATTTTTTGCTCGTCCGCACAACACGCATGGACTCTCTTTATGGACTGCCTACGTTCCAAGGAACATTGCTGGGAGTGTCAGCCGCTTCTCCTCCATCACGCAGAGAACACAGGCACATTTCCAGCCTTGTTGGTGTTTTTAATTTATTTTTATTTCATATTTCTTAACCGTCCATCTCCCTCAGAGAAGGGCTCTGGGAGGTGTACCATATAATACAGGCAGTCCGTTTAGATACAGTTCAAAGTTACGGCACTGAAAAAAAAAGTAACTTACGACCCGTTTTTCACAGTTACGACCTTCGTGGCATTCCCCCACGGTCCCCTGATCAAAATTCGGACCGTTGGCAACTGACTCGCATTTACGACGGTTGCAGGGTCCTTGGGGGTCATGTGATCCCCTTTTGCAGACCACCTGATAAGCAAAATCAACCTAACAACCCTGTCGCTAACTTAGCAACTGAACAGACACTTGTCTGAAATGGTCTAGGCCAGGTCTTCTGCTTGAGGGGTGGGAGCTGGACTAGAAGACCTCCAAGGTCCCTTCCAGCTCTACTCTATTCTAAAGCTTTGGAGACTCACTCAGCAGCCGGGCCAATAAAGGTCGTAAAACGGGACAAAAGCCACTCAACAAAAGTTTCATTTAACATCCTAAATTTCGGGCTGGACTGTGGTCGTAAGTCGAGGACTACCCTGCGTGGGTGTTTCCAGAAGCAAACCCAGGAACGGGGCGACGGCGGCTGTGGGGAAGGGAGCCCAATTCGAATTCGGGGGATGGGATCGCAAGAAACGGGAAAGCCCTTACCCGACTTCCCCTTACCTGCATGTTGTCTTCGAAGGCTCCCCACTCCGCAGTCGCTGTCGCATCCCCGCTCCTCGCTCCCCCGGCTGCCCCAGGGACAGACATTTCCCCAGCAGCGGTTGCGGAGGCACCGAAGCCTCCGGGCCCGCTCTCACTTTCCCCCCGCCCGGCCCGCTAAGGGAAGAGCCACCGAAGCCCAGGCGGAAAAAGCCCGGATGGAGCAAAGCCAGAGCAATCCGCGCTCGGGGGGTTAAGGAGCCGCACGAAGAGGAGGGGAACGTGGAGACTCAGATGTTCTCGCGAGATTTCTCAGGAGCCGGCCTGAGTACGGGGCCATCTTGATTGTTCCAGACGAAACGAACTTCAAGCAAAAGGAACTTATAACGACGGGACGTACAGAAAAGCGGGAAAAAATCCTCAAGACATCGTCTACAACGCGCTCAAAACGCCCTCTTGACCCGTGACTCTAAAGCACGCCTCCACATATACACAACACACACACACAAATGTTTATTTTGGAAAGAGCCACACACAACATGGCGGCCTCCCCGCCACCAACTTCCGTTCGGTGGGAAGAGCCGCTCAACCGGAATTCGAATGTCACGTGAGAGAGAACGCCTTCCTGCTCGATTGTAAAACTTTGCGCTTGCGCATTGAGCTTGGCTGTACTGTATGTAACGCGTTTGCGTGGAGGATGGCAGCACCCGGGAGCGTGGAAGAGATGCGGACTCGCGTGGTTCTGGGCGAATTCGGCGTTGGCAACGTAAGCGAAAGAAAGCAGCGGGACGGGTGGAGGGGTAGTGTTGTCTGGCCACGAAGCGGGTCTTATTCATGAGTTGAGTGGCTGTTTCCTAGAGACAGAAGCCTGACTTATGTAATATAAAGCAGTATAAATCTAATGGAGCCGAATGAATGAATGAATGAAGCGCTGCTTCGAACAGTGTCGTGATACAGGGAGGAAGGGATTTGCGAATTTTGTCTGGGATATTTCACTGCGATTTGACAGTTTACCCACGTAAAAGCAGGTTGCTGCTTGAAGATGCACAGATGTATGCAAGACCTCCACCAGTTGTCCCCGTAATTCTGTAAAGCGATTTTTTTTGCAGCAGTCATCTTGGTTTTGAATTTGGAAACTACTGTATGTCGAATTAAGTCGTTACAGGTAGTCCTCGAATTACAATAGTTCTTTTAGTGACCATTTGAAGTTACAAGAGCGCTGTAAAAAGTGATCTGTGACCCACCGTTTTTCACATTTACAACCTTTGCAGCATCCCCATGGTCATATGATCAAAATTTGAATGCTTGGCAACTGACTCATATTTATGATGGTTGCTGTGTTCCAGGTCATATCATCTTTTGTGACTTTCTGACAAGCCAAGTCGATGGAGAAGCCAAACATATTATTAACATATTAATAACACTTAACAATTTGTGGCAAGAAATGTCACAAAATAGAACAAAATTCTCTTAACAGCTTTTCACTTAACAACAAATTTTGGGCTTAGTTATGGTCATACGTCAAGGACTACCTGTAATTTATTGAACACATACCCAGGTTGGCAGCTGTTCAGGATTTCAGCTCTATTCAGGGATTGAACCTGGCATAATTTGCATTTTCTATCAAAGAGGTACCAAGTGTTTCTTTCCTCTCCAGGTCCACACAACAGATTTTCCTGGGAATTATTCAGGATACAATGATGCTTGGGATAAGCAAAGATTTGAAAAGGTGAGAAAGAAGTGATTCTTTCTGTGAAGCACTTTAAAGTCAAAAGTTGCCTATTTCCTTGGAACTTTACTTGATAACAAATCAGTGCAAAACACTATTTCTGAATCGTATTAGCTTGTTTGTAGTTTGGTTCAAGTTGTAGTGTATTTTCAAACGTAGATATTGCTTGTATGGCGGAGAACCTAGTTCAATTCCTTGCTGTTTATGAAAGATGTGCACGAGCCATGTTCTGTGCTTATCTGACTGGGAAAGAATGTGAATTGAATAAATGAATATTTGTAGAATATTGTAAAATATCAGAATATTCAGCATTGATAATGATATCATTTAATTGTATGGTAAGACTTCTTCAACCAGTTCATACTTTAACTATAGCTTACAAACCCAATAGATGATATTCAGTGCACATAGCAGGGTTCGATTTAAAGAATAGATTTGTTGTCTCTTACTGTTTGTCAGCAAAATCTTTTTTTGACCAAAAGAAGGTGCGTATAGATTCCTGTTTTCAAACTTTGTTTCCACAGAATTTCAGAATAGATATGATCCATATGGATGAAAGTACATTGGAATTTGACATGGTAGGGATTGATGCAGCCATTGCTAATGCTTTCCGACGGATCTTGCTTGCTGAGGTATTGATTTCTTTTCCACAGAAATAATGCTAGCATAGTCATATTGGTATTTTAATGCATAGGAATATCCTTAAAAATATCACAACATTTGCATTGAGAAGGATTGTCAAATACGTTGTTGTGAAAGACAAATTGTAATACAAAGTCTTTAGAGTGGTTTTTTAAATTAGGCAGTTTCATTGTAGAAGTTTAAAATACTTTTGTGTTGTAGAAAAAGAGTATTATTATACGTAAGGTCATTGAATTTTAGAAAGCTGTTGTCCAAAATGGCAAGCCCAGTGATATCTATCATCTCTCTCCCTCCCTCCCTCCCTGCTCTCTTTGATCTATCTCCCACCTTTATTATTTTTATAAGTAACTCAAGGTGGCAAGCGTACTTAATACACCTCCTTCCTCCTGTTTTCCCCCACAATAACAACTCTGTGAGGTAAGTTGGGCTGAGAGAGAGTGACCGGCCCAAAGTCATCCAAGTTGGCTTTCATGCCTAAGGCAGGACTAGAACTCACAGTCTCCTGATTTCTAACCTGGTACCTTAACCACTAAGCCAAACTGGCAGTATTATATTACATCTGCATAGTAGGTATAAGTACACGGAGTGGATATCTTTGGGATCTCATTTATTATTAAAATTGTCTATTCCTTCTATTGGAGCTTGAAGAAACTTTTCAGAAATAAAGGTGGGCTGTGAATACAAGAACATTGGGGAGTCTACATAGCCTGTTTTAAACATTTCTAACTTGATGTTTAGATTAGTATGTTAGACCACCAGAAATTCATAGATACTGAGCACCACTGCTTTGACAAATTGTTACTTAGGTGCCAACTATGGCTGTGGAAAAAGTCTTTGTATACAACAACACCTCCATTGTGCAGGATGAAATCCTAGCTCACCGTTTGGGATTGATTCCTATTTGTGCAGATCCTCGTCTCTTTGAGTACAAGAGTGAAGGTAAGATAATGGAGGTGTTTGTCAGGGGCTGAAACTGGCTATTACTGAGTAGAACTTAAAACAATGTGTGTGCATCTTGCTTTACTTTGTTCTTCCTTGCTTTTTTCAGAAGATGAATGTGATGAAATTAACACATTGCAGTTTCGGTTGAAAATAAAATGCAGCAAGAATCTTCAGGCGGCTAGAGAATCATCTGATCCTAATGAGCTTTATATTAACCATAAAGGTAAAATCCTTGCTTCAAGTCATCAATCACTACTGTTCTATGTTTATAATGCAAACAAACTTTTGACATAATCTCATATTCAAGCCTTCTCAGTCTACCAAATCTTTCTCTTTAAATTGGAAGTCAGGGCTTGCAAAATTGATTGTGTGTGTGTGTGTGTGTGTGTGGTTTTTCCTTCCCCTCTCTCCACTTTGAATATAATTGTTAGCTATTCCTTTTTGATTAAGAAGATGCCCTGCTGGATTGGAACAGCACATAGGGCCCAGAAAATAATTGAATAATGCCACAGTTTGCCTGTGTAGTTGTAAGCACAACTCTTTTTAAAAATAGTCTTCTTATAGTTTACAGCAAACACATGGAGTGGGTTCCACTAGGATCTCAAGCTGACAACATGAATGCAAATTTCCGACCTGTCCATGATGATATCCTCATTGCTCAGTTGCGTCCTGGCCAAGAGATCGATGTACTTATGCACTGCGTAAAGGGCATTGGTGAGACAGCTAAAGTTCTGATATACATTTGGCAATTTCATTTTTTTGGGGGGAGGGGAGGAGGGAATACTCACTTTGTACATGTGGCTGATATTTTCTCAATAGATGCTAGATCTCAGAGAAGGGGTCCTTTTTAGAGAGGGTAAGGCGTAGTTGATTTACCACTTGGATTATTCTGGCTTGTTTAATAACTCAAGTTCTTTCTTTATGAGATAGCATAACTGGTCCACAGTACTTTGTAATTCCTGTCTTAGTATTATAAAGATTGTATTTGAGTTTCGGGTTAGATAAAGTCAATAATGTGAAATGTAGCATCCCTGTTGTTATTTGTATTACCGCTTGTGTGCTTCAGTGAATTTGTTTTCAGTCAACATTTCATTTTTGGAAAGCAGCATGTTGTAAAGGTTGGTAGTAGTAGTAGGTTGGAGACAAGGACTGAGGTGAATAGGGTACTGATAAGCTAATTGGCAATGAATTAGTGGGAAGACTGTTAGGGACTACATGGAATGCTGGCAATCTGCACACCAGAGTTTAAGAATCCCTGCCATGTGTGTTCGCTGCCTGTGTTCAGCTTCTTTGGTGCAAGCAGCATTACTGACAAATGTTATGGAAGATGAATGGCCTATTTAGAAGAGTGCAACTGATTTTTATTATCTAGAGGGTTGGACAGATGTGCAGAACAAATCCAGTTTTCTGCCAGCTTTCTCTCTCTGCTTCCACTTCATCCCACTGATGCCTGATTGCATTCATCTGCTTTTTAAAAGTCACCATTTTTCTTTAGGCAAAGATCATGCCAAATTTTCTCCAGTTGCCACAGCCAGTTACCGTTTGTTGCCAGAAATCACTTTATTGCAGCCTGTTGAAGGGGAAGCAGCTGAGCGGCTGAAAAAGTGTTTTTCTTCTGGAGTTATTGAGATCGAGGAAATCAAAGGTAATTTCTTTCTTCAATCCTTAAATGGTACAAAATCACAAACTGTATTTTATTGACCAACTTCTGTCCTCCCGCCCCCCCCAATGACAGAACTTTATATCTTCTGTATGATGAAGTGCATGTTTGCCTTCCTTATGGTCTAATTTGTGAGCTTCCAATCAGCTCTGTGGCGGCTGTATTACAAAAAATGGCAAAATAGCTACAACAAAAATGGATGCTTGGTTGGACGCCTTCCTCCCTTTTTTCTTCTATTTGCTATGCAGAGACTAAGGCTATTTTCCTCGACTATCGGAAAATCGAATGAATGCCTGATGTTTGGTTCTGAAAAGTGAAGACTGATTACAAACCTTAAGAGAAAAGCTCAATTAAATTCATTGAGGGATATTTGGAAAAGTCTACATAGAATCAGACTGCCCAGGGAGGGAGGTTTGTTGTCCAGGTTTCCAACCGATTAATCAGCAATTTAGATGGGCAAGATGTTATTTGGAATCTGTTTTGTAGTTGAGTTGAAGCAGAGACGAATAAACATAATCCAGCCGTATATAAAAAAGGTTCATTGAAGATATGTTAATATTTTTTGGAATTTAGGTATTGGTTCTTTTTTTTTTTTTTTTTCCCCTAGGAAAGAAAGTAGCAAGAGTGGCTAATGCTCGATTGGACACATTCAGTAGAGAAATTTTTCGTCATGATGACTTGAAAAACCTTGTACGTTTGGCTCGGGTACGAGATCATTACATCTGTGAGTAATTTACATGTTCTTTTGTTATTGATCTTTATGGATTGTGTAATGAGCACACAATTTTCCTTGGATCAGGGGCGATATTCCTTTTCCTGGAGGCAATAACAAGCGGAAGGTTTTTGGCATCAGGATGGGGTGAATGTTTCACTGTATTGTATTTTTTGAGGGGGTAAAGGATTGGAGTTCTAGGCCTCTGAAAATCAAAGGGGTCTCATTTCCAGTTTTGTTTTTAAACTTATCAAGTTTGATGGATAGGATTTAGGACTGTTTTGGAGGCTGAAATAATAGAAATGAGAGTTGTTGGTGCGGCTCAGTCAGCCTTATTAATTTGTAGTTTTTTTTAAAAAGTACCACTGAAAGCCAGCCTTTTGAAAGCCAGTTTATAATAGGACTGCGTCGAAGGATGCCTGCACTTATGGGTTGTCTAATATTGTTGCTAACCACTAGCTTTGAAATGTCAAATGACAAAGCACCTTGTGTAATTTCCTTGCTTTTTATTCTACAGTTCTGTATTTTATTTTATAGTTAGTTTTTGCATCAAAATGATATAGAACCAAATAATCTCAGTGGTCATTTTAATGGCATGATATAATTCTATCTTTAAATCCGTTTGAGCCAGTCCTTCATTCAATGCTTCGAAATCTGAAAACATTTGTGCAAGTGAGGTCTTAATGCTTATTTTGGGAACATGACTTATTTGAAAAGCCCAAAAAGTAGATTATTCTCTTGGCTCTGTTGAAGGTCACAACTTGTATTCATGTATCAGTGAATTGTGATGTACTGAACAAACCACAGTTGTCATAGTTTATTAAAAATAATCTGATTTATATACTTAATTTGATTATCTCCAAGGCTGCTTGCTCCAAAGTGAAGTTACCCTATAAGATATAGGAAATAAGCCTTTCTTGGGGTCCCATCACCAAAGTAACTTCTCTGGCTGGGAATTTCTGGGAGTTGAAGAACACAAGTTTTACACTTGGCCAGATTGGGAAACACTAATCTGCAGGAAGCTCTTCTGAGGGATGGTGCTGCTCCTGTGGAACACCTTGTCTTTTCAAAAAGAATTGTTCATCCTTACTGAGTTTCAAAAAGAGGTGAAAATATGGCTCTGGAATAGACAATTTGGGTTTTGATTCATTTGTTTAATTGCGTTCGTCTTATCTAGTTTTAGGACATGTATGGAGAACAGATATTTTGGGTCTTATTTATGCAGAAATATTGCAAATTCAAAGGGTTCACAGACTTTTAAGCACAGCAGTATCTTGGTGCCTAGTAACGAATCCTACTATTCAACTTCCATCTGCTGCTTAACAGTTTAATATGTTATCTTGTTTATGCTTTATGATAGTTCAAACTGAGACCCTTTCTCACCCCTCCTCCCCCAGTCTCTGTAGAATCCACAGGCATCTTGCCTCCAGATGTGCTGGTGAGTGAAGCAATCAAAGTACTAATGGGAAAATGCCAGCGCTTCTTAGAGGAGCTAAAATCCATCCAGAAGAAATAAAGTTGGGAACACTAAAGATTCTTGTGGGGAAATACCGCTATCAAAATCCCTATGTCTGATTTGAAGAGGAACAACTTTAATCAAGATTGCATCAATCTGTAAGACAATGAGACTTCCGAGATGTCAATGAACAATGGTTGCTGAACAGTTGTTACTGTTATTTACACAACGTGGACACAACTAAAATTCAGGATAACGCAGTGCCTTGTGTAGGATTTGTGGTCCGGCAATGGTGGATGCCATTCTTTGATAAGGCTTTGCAATCACATGCACATGGAGACTCCTAGAGTGAACTGTACAATTTCCTGTGTTAGTCTTAGTTTCCATTACAACAGTGTTGTAGAAATCTTACCGCTGTGTAGTGGATCACCTATTACATACTACCTTTTTGCTGATCTGGCACTATATACCATGACAGTTTCACGATCTGGCATAGTTCCTAGAGTCAGCCAAAAAATCCCCAAGTCAGTTAATCTGTGCCTGCGCTGTAGTTTTCTGCGTCAATATCCATGAAAATACTTGATTCTTTTAAGAATTTTAATCCTGCTAGCTGTCATTAGTACATTTATGCATAATATCAGTATATGCTGATCTAAAATATTTATTCCTAACATTCTCTCAGTACATTTATTTTAAAAAGTTACTTTTTAGTTACTGGGACACATGCCTCTCTTTAAAGGAGGGAAATACCACCTTGAATATTCCTCTCATCCTAAGTATTCTCTTGAGATTCCAACTGTTTCCAAAGTTAAGGTAGTACGTTTAAGCTACTTTCTGGCAAAACCCGAATATCCTTCCAGTTTAATCCATTATTGATACAGAATTTCTAATTGAAACAGGAGAAAAATGCCTATTGATAAACTAGTTGAATTAGAAAAATTAAGCTGCAAGAAATCTTCTCTTAAGAGGAATATTATTGTGTATCTTTGAAGTATGCGAGCTAAGTACCTTTGGTAGCATATAACATTATGAAGAGTAGAAGGCACAGGACATGAATGGCTGTAGTTCCTTGTGCTACTTTGTCATCAAAATTTTTATTTTTAATTTATTGAACTATCCTATTTCCAACCTCCCAAAACTGGAATTGCCCAACTTTGATAAGAATGTCTAATTTTTAGCCCAAACTTAAAATAATGTACCGCATTTTTCGCACTCCAAGATGCACTTTTTCTACCAAAAGTGGGTGGAAATGTCTGTGCGTCTTATAGAGCGAATATTGCGGAGGGAGGGAGATCGCCGCCTGTCCCTGCTGCTGCCGTTTGCCACTGCTGTGGAACACTGGAGCCTTTGCTGCAGAGCAGCCGATTGGCAGTTTGGATCGGCCTCCCGGAATACCACCGATTAGCTGGTCTAGCTAATCACCACTGATGCCAATTGCTGCCGCTAATCATCGCTGCTGAACAGCAGTGGCAATGGTGAATGGCAAAGGCGGTGATCCCCACTGCCTAGGACAGCTGATTGGCAGTGTTCCGGGAAGCTGATCTGTCAACCAGCTGCTCGACAGTGAAGGCTCCAGCATTCTCCAATGACGGCACTAGCTCAGCTCAGTTGACCAGTGATTGGCGCAATGGAGCATAGCCCTGTCAAGCCCCATGTTGGGGCTGCGATAACATGCTGAAGCTGACCAGGCTGTTTATTGTAAGGATGTGAGCCAGATGAATATCGGATGGATGCTGGGATGCAGAGGCAGGTTTTTTTTTTCTTGTTTTCCTCCCAAAAGCTAGATGTGTCTTAAGTTCTGGAGTGTCTTATAGTGCAAAAAATACAGTATTTGACTATATTCAGTAAAGCAAGACAAAGCATTCACACAAAAGCTTGAAGCATTAAAGCATCTGCAAGGTTTGCAGCCTATGCTTACTGTTTGCGTAAAGTTTACTAAAGGTTTATATGAAAATATTTGTGCACGCACAGTCAAGCACAGTTTTGGGGTAGTTGACTGAGCCTTCCGGGATGCAGCTGATTGAATGTGTTGAACAGGAGTGCTTCAGTCAGGGTAGCATGTTTTGCATTAAGTATGCAATTTTCATAATTGCAGTATTTGACCCGGAGAGCAGCCATGGTGGTGATGTTCAAAAAAGGTGTGAAAAGAATTAATGCAAAGGAACAGCAATGTTTGTATAAAATGAGACTTTTACTGACATTGATTTGGAGACATCTTCAGATACAACATCTCTACAAAAAAACAAAAACAAAACCCCTCACTTGTTTTAAATGCGTCTTTTACGGGCACAGTTAATTGAAATGTAATTAAGACACAATAAATACAGTTAGGCAAGATTCCAAAGCTATTTAACAAAATTTGGTTTAAATAAATGTTACGCTGAGATCAGGATTATAAACAAATCAGACTGGAGTCTGGCTATTAGTGAGGATCCAAATATCAATATTAAGACCTGTTTTCTGTCATGTAACCAGATGTGTATACTACAAAGCCGCTTAATTGAAAAACACCATCCGGTTCTACCTGTAGTCAAGCTATTACAGCAGCCACTAAGGAAAGCCCCTCTATTTGATACTAATTCTTCAGACTGAAAATTAAAATCTGGCAAATTTATGGTCACATTCTATCGCTCTCTCGGACAAACACTTAAGACCTGGCTTGGAGGCATTCTGTACCATCAGACACTGAACCAAATTATCCAGAACTGTACTGCATTCTACATTCAGGGGCAGCGTTTCAGCATGTTATTTTAAACCAGTATAAAATAGTTCTGAATTCCTTTTGTTTAGAAAAATCTGACTTTTGACAGATGAGGACTGATTGCAGCTAGAATACCTATTTCAACAATATTTGTAGGGCAAAGAAGAGGATGTTTAAGCTGAGGCTTCCTGAGGCTTGGTTGAATTTTTTAAAAAATGTTTTCACTCCAGTTTCTCAATGGTACTTGGTTTGCTGGAACATATGGCCAATGCTACTTCTCAAAAGTAATAAAAATAATAAAACTTTTGAGTAGTGTAACTTAGTGATTCATCAACACTCAATATGCACAACTGCATTTCTTCATCCAAGCTGTGTCTTTCCAACAGGGAAGCAGGAGTCTCCTATTAGTGTCATGTTGAGGCAGCAACAGTACAGGTGTCCTGAAGGAGAAGTAGCAGAGAGAATGAGAGGCTGCAGAACTTTCTCCCTTCCTCGGTCAAATACTATAGGTATATATGAAGGGTTGTTTGTAAAGAACTGGCCAAATGACACTTGGATTGGAATGCCTGAGCAACCACCATCCGACAGTAAAATGATAAAGTTATACAGTAAAGCTGCAAGTGGAGCTAGAAAATCTCTCCCCCTCCCAAAAGGAGAATGAGGCCAGTGAGAACTGTATCAGGGCTCAGGAAAGGAGTAAACAAAGGAAATATGGCTACTGTGAAACACAGTATAAAGGAGGAAAAAGTGGAAGTGTCTTCAGCTTATGGCTCAAAGAGGGCAATGAGAATTTCCTCTTCACTGTTCTCAAAAACATCTTGTCCTAGGGGTGCTTTCATCTTCTTGAAAAGAGATGGAAGATTTCTGATGTGGACTTCTTTCCTGAATTGTTCTCCTAGGGGCTTCTGTAAAGAAACAAAAATGAATAGGTAAAAGATGCATAGAAATATTCCAACAATAATAGCCTCTGCTAAAATTGTAGAATTTCCCACCCCCCCACTCCACAGTGTTATGATCCCCTCACAATTGTGGGGACGTGTCTTGTTCCTGTATCCTAGATTGTTCAACGTGCTGAATTTAATTCGGATCAACTTCACGTCAGTCAAAGCCAGAAACAAAGTATCAAATGCTATATATTCTGTAGCAGTAAGCAGGGAGTAGGTAATTAGCCATGGATGACGTGGGAAAGATACATTCTGGAGAATCATAGAATAGTAAAGGCTACATGGTTAGATCTCCACGAGTACCCAATGTTTCTACCATCACAATTTAGGATTTGTGCAACATGAGTCACAACTAATGGCCTGAAAAGGTAAGCTCTGACATCGGTTAAAGTCAACGGGGGGGGGGGGGGGGGGGGGGAACACCCTGCTTATCCTGAGAGATGAGATAATTTCTCTGTTGCTTGATATCATGTCTTACCCCTATGCAGCCTGCAATTAGGCGTTTGAAATGGTCCTTCCGCCGTTTATCTGCCACCTTCTGAAGCGTTACGTTGAGTAGTTTGGAATCAAACTGCTCCAGGGAATCATTCTGGATTTCTGGGACTTGTTCCATCACTGTTTTCAATTCAGCATAGCGTGGACGCTTTAAATAACAAAAAAGAAGAGTCAGGAGGGATCTTTGCCAGAAGAGAAATGGCTATTTCCAAAGAGGGAATTAACCACTAAATGATATGTTCAAAACTTTGCATCCCACCAAAATGAGCCTTGGATTTGGAGTGGTACTAAACCACAAAGATGGCAGACCTGGGAATGGATTTTCTCCCCAATTCCTTACCAAAGCTTCGTAGATCTGGAAAGCCAAGTGGACAAGTGCTGCCATACAGCCATTGTGTTGCCCATGAACCTGTAACCCTTTCAGTACACTTGTGAAAAACCAGATCACTGCTTCAGGGATCATCATATTCTTTGTGAGAACCTATGGCAGAGATTGAAGTGAGGCAAGACGGGGAGAAGGGGCTCTTTTCCAAAATTCTGATATTCACCCCTATTTTACTTAATGCAATACCCTTTTATCCCATTCACCACTTTGTATCCTGCTAAACTCAGTATCGAGGTACCTGTTTGAGCAATGGCCAGCAGAGTTGGGTGGTAGTTCTTTGACAGGACAAGGTATCCTTCCAGGAAAGGGATGTGAAGGCTGTAATTAGCAGAGCAGTACAGACATTCTTGGGGAAAAAGAAAAAGAAAAGTTAGGCCACTTACAGACTCACAGGATTTTTGTCTTATGGGTCAAGGCACTCTTAGTTATAGGGCAGAATTAAAAAGTACATTGGAACTCTAGATGTTTCATGAAGCACAGAAATGTATTTCTTTGTCAGATTAATCAAGAAAAAAAATTAATCACCCTATTTCCCCACAGAACTGGCCATAATATTTCCATATTATAAAAAGACTTTCATGATAAATTAAAAGTTTTTTTCACAAAAGCAATAGCTTTTAAGAGTGTATGTACTTATTTAAAAGCAGATCTGTACTGAATATTCTGTGTGTAATTTCTAAGTTTACAGACTTTTTTTTTTCTACAGGGATCTCTCTAGGGTTGCTGGAATGTAACTGGCAATGTAATGAGGTTACAGGAGAAAGAATGTTTTTTCTTTTCTTCAAAAACAGAAGAAAGGCCTTGCTGAACCAGTTAGAGAGTCTACAAATAGTCCTCAAGTTATACTCATTAATTCAGGAACTTCAAAGTTATGGCATGGAGAAAGAATTTATGACTGATCCTCAACGTTCTAGCCGTTGCATTGCCTGCAGTCATGATAAAAATGCAGGCCTGCCTGCATTCAGGATTGCCACGCCATCACCACCAGTTTATTTTTTGTTATCTTCTTGTCTAGGAAGAGGCAGGGCTCCCAGGCAAGCAGGCTGGCGGTTGAGAGCTATGGGTAAGGTGGCTGATTCTGTGGGTGGGCACTAGGGAACATGGAGCTTAATGCTGGGAAAAGTGGCGTGGGCCAAGACTGCTTGAAGGCCACTGCCAAGGAGTGCTGCTAGCAAGCCCCATGATCCCTAGCTCCCACAGCAGCCCCTTGGCCTGTAGCTCTCATCCACTAGTCTGCTTGCCAGGGATTCCTGACTGTTCTTACAATGGAGTCATGTGAAGTCCTCACATAATGGCTTCCATGATCCTGGGGTTATTGTTAGGAATGTAAGTCACCTAACAGGTATTTGGGTTAGAAATATATAAACCAGGATAAACATTTTAGTACTATATCTTTAAGGGAATGCAAGAGCATGCAATTGGGTGTGGTTTCTCAAACAGCCATAAGATGGAGCCAGAAACCTGGGTTGTTTAGTCTAAGTCTTAGAAGAGAGTGTAAGTGTATATCTGTTTCCTTCTGTTGGAAAGTATTGCCGTTACTCCATTTCTTCTAATTGACTGATATTACTGGATTTAATGTAAGTCTGATACTGAACTGTTTTTGACACTGGACTTTGATACTGAATTATCCCTGGATGAAAACTGACTGATTTTACCTGTGAATGACTTTGGACTGCTTATTTTGGAAACCTTAAACCTTTCTGGAAGTAAAAACCTACATTTACTGTACAGTGTTATCTGTGTACTGTGTGTGTATTATTCAAACACTTCTCTCAAATACGTCTCCCTGTATGCACTCATTCTCCTAACAGGGAATTACCTCAACAGTTATGATGGCAACTGGGACTGTTTGTGATTTCTGCTGCTAAAGGATATAATCATACAATATGACAGTTTATGACTGCATTTATGTGTCTGTCTATGTGTCTGTCTGTCTGTCTATCATCATCTATTTTGAGCAAAGATGTTCAGAATTGCTCACCACCTGAATTTATTCTAATATATATATATTAGAGGTTAAAATACAAGAACAAATTCCCCCAAAGAATGAGAAGCAGGAAGAAGTTATTATCAGACTTTATATTTTCAAGAATTCAAGTGAATCCTTCAATTGTCACAAATAAAATGAAGACAATATTGAACCAGAGTTTCCTTACCTCTTGTTTCATTAGGCATTTGCCCAATTCAGTGAGCTCAGAGCTGGTTGATGGAATCACCTCTGTGGACATCATCTCCTCATCTATCAGGGAAAATAATGTGAACCAGATTCATTACGAACCATATCTCGATCAGAATATCTGTTCCTTGAACAAGGCACAGATGCATCAAAAATGCTGGCTGGACACATACACAAATGTATTTCTTCATAGTTCCGTTTATCTTGAAGTCACACTACCAGGAAGTGTCAAGAGGAGGCAGATGACCTACAGAACAGCGAGCCAAAATATGGATCTTTGGGGATAATCAATTTGAGGAAAAAAAACTGCAGCGAAGAAATACTGTTCCTGGAGCCATGGATTATTAACATTCTTACATCCATTTTTGGGCTGGAATATTGTATCAATGATTCCTGAAGTGTGGCTTTGATTCTTTGCTAATAATTAAACCACTGAAGTGGTTAGCAATTCTAAAGGTATTTATAGAACAAGAACAACAACTTTATTTTTAAAAGTAAGTTAGCCACAAACTTTTTATATATGTAGGACCAATTCAATTCAAATCTCAAGGGCAGCAGAATGAACAAGACAATTACCTACCGTCGCCATCTGCAGTAACTGTATTATTCTGCTCAGCACCTTTTTTTGACACACAGCAAACAGCTACAAATACATCAAAAGAAGATAAATATCAGAGTCAATGAGACATGATGCTTTCAAGAATTCCTTTCAGTATCATCTAATTTTTACTTTGCAAAACTTTGAAATGTATCTTACACTGGAAATCCCAGTTCATTAAAAAAAGGAATGCAATCCTTTTTTTATATTAAGTGAATAAAATAAAACGTGATTTGGAGCATTCTTTCCTCTAAGCGTCTTCTGAAATCACCATGGTAAAGAGCATGGAATTCCAAGTGTTCAAGTTTGCTTTGGACATAATCAAATGATAAAAGCCAAGAAGGAAGGAATAAGGCCAGACTTTACACCAGTGGTAGTCAACCTGGTCCCTACCGCCCACTAGTGGGCGTTCCAGCTTTCAGGGTGGGCAGTAGGGGTTTTGTCCCCTACTTTATAAATCACCATTACTGTGGAACCGGTGGGCGGTTAGAAAATTTTACTACTAACAGAGATACAAAAGTGGGCGGTAGGTATAAAAAGGTTGACTACCCCTGCTCTACATGAATGTGTATTCTGAGAAATTCCTTATTAAACTATCACACACTGCAG